TACTTCCGAAAAAAAATAGAAAACTAAATTAATATATTAATACCTATTATAGTTCTGGCTAAGGTTTTGTCGGTTTTGTATATAAGTAAAGTTTTGTTTTAGGTACCTGAATTCTGAAATAATTTATAGATATTGCCTATCTTCAAAATAATAAATAAAATCTCCCAAGTGTTACCCKTWMCMMKTRMCWAGTKAGGGAGGGAATGCCTCCTTAATTAATAATATATAATGTGACACTAACTATATTTWAAAAAAGCCTCGCATGTAGGTAGGTAAGCTTGCCGCTTGGTAAAAACTTACAATAATAAGACCTAYAATTTAAAGTYGTTGTTAGGTATTTTAGTTCATGGACACATACAACACTGATTATAACATTCAATATTTCCGAAAATATTAAATTTTTTTCGAGTAGGTGAAYGTTCTAATTCGTTTATGTAGATCGTWAGATATTATTTCTTTTTTTATTAGTTTTTCAATCTGATAATATTATAGKATAATTATTATCATTTTTATTCGTACGTACGTATTTATAGTTTGCGTTCTGCCTCGAACAGAATAATATTAATWATATTTCGTTTCGAATAGTACAACGACATCTGGCTRTGGCGTGATTGGATTCTGTTGAGTAAAATGTGTACGTTTTTGGGGGACAACATTACTATAGGACAAATGGCAATTAGCTCAAAAATTGAACAATCTCGAAATTCAGCCCAAAATGGGAACKTACCACAATCRCGTTATACGTTTATCGGTTTATCCATGGCATAGACATCACATACCAACACAATCTTCTAACGATTTGAGTTCTGCAACAACACAATAAAATATAGTCAAATTATTGTCGGAGAAAGAACATTTTAAATATTAGAATTTGCATAACGTTACATAGAGAATCAAGATGGAAAAGATTTTCAAGGAAGAAATTGGAGTGTATCGATACGYATCGATTTAATTTTGAGTGTTCAAGAAAAGTTTAAGGTTTAACATACAAGCGATGCACCCCGGTCCGTATCGGGTTTACTCGGTTTCAATACTTCAAGACTTCAATACGAATCGGTAAGTAACTATTCTCAGTCGATACGAATCGAATTCTTCTTCTTGAAAATCTTGATAATATCCGGAGGGCTAAGTTTTTGAGTTGTTTCAGTTATGMACTGGGGCGTCGAATCATTATTAATTACTAATATGGGTATTCAAGATTTTCAAGAAGTATTGGCTAATGGCTGGGAATAGTTACGTATCGACTTCGAAGTCTAAGCCCGACGCAGGTYGATACATATCGCTTGTACCTATATTGAACGTGTAACTTCTTGGACACTCAAAATTAAATCGATACGTATYGATGCTCTCCAATTTCTTATTCGAAAATCTTCGTCATGGCTTTGTTGATTGTTCCAAGGAACGTCTTTCATTCACCATTCACKYGATAACTTTACTGATAAGCACGACTGCTGTAAATGATAACGTCACGTAATCTGATCATCAAGACGAAATAATTTTGAATTTAATAGTCTAATAGTGCCAGACTACACCGAAGACTACAACAAACTGTACTAGACTGTACTACGGCAATATCTAAAAACGTAATTGTATAATTATGTACCTAATATTGAATATCGATGATTGTGTGGTTTTAATTTTAACACTTTATTATATAACGCCTTAACGGGAGACCTACTTTTTACAATTTTTTTTTCTTTAGTGTAGTTTTCTTTATGCAGTTAGATATACGGAAAGTTGGAATTCAACGGACTAGGTTTCAAATTCAATGCGACATAGCCTAGAGAAGTAAAGAAGTTCGCAGTTATATACGATTTTTACGGATTCGCTCATCTTTTTAGTTTACCGCGCCCATTGCGAATATTTATGGGTTTTTTAAACCTAAATTTTTCAATGAGTAAGTACTATGGTTCAGTCAGAATTTGTCAGTCGAACTTATCTTTATTTTACCGAGATTTGAATTGTCTTTACATAATTCTAAGATGTAATAACTAATTTTGCGATTATCCTTAGGCAGATAACCC